AAGGCAACAAGTCAAGTCAGAGTTCCCACCAGGGCTACACGTGGGCCATTGATCACCTAAACCACAAGATATGTGTGTGTATACACATTGTTTAGTCATTTTCAGTCATGTATGACTCTGTAAGCACATGTGGGGTTTTCTTTTTTTTTATTAATTTATTTTGCTTTATCAATAATCACTTCCATATGCTTTTGAGATTAAAATTTTTCTCCTCCTTCCTCCCCTCCCCAAGACGGCGCACAATCTGATATAGGCTATGCATTTACATTCATATTAAACATATTTTCACATTAGTGATGTTATAAGTAAAAATTAAAACCAATAGGAGGAACCATCAGAAAGAGGAAACAAAACTCAACAGAAGAGAAAAAAAGATAGCAATTCGGCTTCCATAGTTCTTTCTTTGGATGTGGATAGCATTTTCCATCACAAGGCCTCTGGAGATGTCTTAGATCCTTGTATTGCCAGGAAGGGTTAAGTTTATCAATATGAGTCATCACACAACGTGGCTGTTTTTGTGTACAATGTTCTCTTGGTTCTGCTCACTTCATTCAGCATCAGACCATACAACTCTTTCCAGGTTTTTCTGAAGTCAGCCTGTTCATCATTTCTTACAGCACAATAGTATCCCGTCACATTCATACACCATAACCTGCTCAGCCATTCCCCAATTGATGGGCATCCTCTCAATTTCCAATTCTTTGCCACCACAAAAAGAGCTGCTATGAATGTTTTTGTACATGTGGGTCCTTTTCCCTTTTGTATGATCTCTTTGGGATATAGCCCTAGACGTGCTATTGCTGGTTCAAAGGGTATGCACATTTTGATAGCCCTTTGGGCATAGTTTCAAATTGCTCTCCAAAATGGTTGGATCATTTCAGAACTCCACCAACAATACATTAGTGTTCCAATTTTCCCACATCTTCTCCAACATTTATCATTTTGTTGTTTTGTCATGTTGGCCAATCTGATAGGTGTGATATGGTACCTCTGAGGTGTTTTGATTTGCATTTCTCTAATCAATAGTGATTTAGAGCATTTTTTCATATGACTATAGATGGTTTTAATTTCTTCATCTGAGAACTGTCTGTTCATATCCTTTGACCATTTATCAATTGGGGAATGGCTTGTATTCTTATAAATTTGACTTAATTCTCTATGTATTTTAGAAATGAGGCCCTTATCAGAGAGACTGGTTGTAAAAATTCTTTCCCAATTTTCTGCCTTCCTTCTAATCTTAGTTGCATTGGCTTTGTTTGTGCAAAAACTTTTCAATTTAATGTAATCCAAATTATCCATTTTACTTTTCGTAATGTTCTCTATCTCCTGTTTGGTCATGAATTCTTCTGTTCTCCATAGATCTGACAGGTAAACTATTTCTTGCTCTCCCAGTTTGCTTATAGTATCAGCCTTTATATCTAAATCATGAACCCATTTTGACTTTATTTTGGTATATGGTGTGAGATTTTGGTCTATGCCTAGTTTCTGCCATACTCTTTTCTAGTTTTCCCAGCAGTTTTTTTCAAAGAGTGGATTCTTATCCCAGAAGCTGGGGTCTTTGGGTTTATTGAATAATAGATTACTATAGTCATTGACTACTGTGTCTTGCATATTTAACCTGTTCCACTGATCCACTACTCTATTTCTTAGTCAGTACCAAGCAGTTTTGATGATTGCTGCTTTATAATACAATTTAAAATCTGGAATGGCTAGGCCATCTAGATGCATTTCTTAAAAGGTCAAGTCACTTTCCTCACTGCTATCCCCTGGAATGATTGGGCCTTGAACAAAAGCACAACAGTGAGCCAATACACTATGCCGAGATTTAAGATGTCCTTAACTATTTATTAATCAACAAGAAGTTTTTTTCTTTGGAATTTTAAGCATCAAGGATACCTGTGGGAGAGATAAGACATAACATGTGCCAGGTAAGTCAAACCACTAACACTGCACTGACCACCATCTTCCCAAGACTCTAAAGGAGATAGCACAGAGCCCTGAAAGCAGAAGCTTTGGGAACCACCACACCTACTTCCAGCCAAGACCCCACAGCCATCCTTAAGGAGTGACATCATTTTAGAGAAATGACCCACCTTCCTCAGCACCACTAGCAACAACTGCTTACCAATTATCACCAAAAGGCATACAGCCACAAGGAGTAGCAGTGTCTCCCACATCAGAGTTCGTGTTTCTAGCTCAGTCATCACAGCCATCATCCATAGGAGTAACTCTTGTGGAGGAGGGTTAGCCATCCTCAGCAACTGTCAACCAACTGCTACCCACAGCACAGGTGAACCAAACTGGTAGAAGCTACTAACCCCTCCTGGGCAAAAGACAGGGGGTAGCACGTGCCAAGCAAGTTAAACCACCATCAACTCCTTGACCACCCTCTCCCCTCAGATAATGAGAACAATGGTCCAGAATTTTGAATCCCAAAGCTAAAGGAATAGCAATGCTCCCAGCCCAGGGTTCCATAGTCATAAAGCTAAGATACCACATTGTACAGATGCAGCTTGACAACTGCTCCTGCAGGTACTACAGTCACAACTTAGGAAGACCCAGAAAAAAGGTTTTTGTCTCCAAAATCTTCAACTCTGTGAAATGGTTCCCACCACAAAGTGACATAGTTTTATCAGTACAAGTGGGGTTAAGGAAGAGGCATGACCATCTACTTTGCTGCTACACTCTAAGGACCATGGGACCTTTCCATCTAACCTGCAGCTGAAACCCTCTAGGAGAATCTAAACTCCTTGAGAACAGGGGCTATTTTCATTCTCCATTTGGATCCCTAGTCCTTAGCATGGTCCTGCCATCATAAGCACTTAATAAATGCTTTTTTGTCCATTCATTTCTTGTGACTACTACTAGATTCCTATGACAGAGGTGGGAAAAGTAAAGACTTCTTTATCAGAATCTGTCTAAATTGATTCTCCTTGTTTGCACATATGCCCCAAGTCTCCTTGAAGACTCATCACCTTCAAAGACTGATGAAAGAATTACTTGGAGATATAATCTTTATGGATGTGTTGAAGGTATCATACTCTTTGGGAAAATTCTGGAAGAACATGAGGAAAGATGATGAAAGTATTGCAAAGGACAATCCTTAGAGCTACGCAGAGACATTATTATGGATTTGGGTCTCATATATCACAGTGAGGTATGAACACATGCCCAGAGTAGACAGAAATGCCCCAGACTTAGCTATATACAAAGACCCTTTGAGACCTCAGGATTTTCTTCCAATTTCTTCACCATTCATTAAAAGTGATGGTGCTATTAACAGACCAATAGATATACTCATTTGAGCATATGTGATTGAAGAGTAATGAAACAGAAGAACAAGAAGCAAATCTTTGCCTGAAAATGAACCAAGCCTTTGGGTAACTACTTGTGAATGAGGGAAGGCTTCTAGCTTATTCCCCTTACAAATAATGTTTGCTGATGGTTTTAGGTGGATGCTTCTTATCATTTTAAGGAAAAACCTATTTATACCTAATGCTTTCAAGTGGATTTAGTAAGAATGAGTGTTTTGTTTTGTCAAAAGCCTTTTCTGCATCTGTTGATATAGTTATATGATTTGTATTACTTTTATTATTGATATAATCATGTTAATGGTCCTTATGTTAAAACATCCCTGCAGTCCTGGCATAAATCCCACTTGGTCACAATGTATAATCTTTGTGTTATATTGTTGTAGTTTCCTAGCTAGTAGTTTATTTAGGATTTTTGCAACCATATTCATTAATGAAATTGCTCTATAGTTTTCTTTCTCTGTTTTTGTTCTTCTTGGTTTAGGTATCAGTGCCGGATTTGTTTCAGAAAAGGAGTTTGGTAGGACTCCTTCTTTGGCTATTATTCTAAATAATTTATTTAACCTTAGAATTAGTTGATCTTTAAATGTTTGGTGGAATTCCCTTGTAAATCCATCTGGTTCTATTGCTTTTTCTTGGGAAGCTCACTTATGACCTGTTCAATTACTTTTTCTAAAACACGATTATTTAGGTAGTCTATTTCCTCTTTTTTTAATGCAGGCAGTTTCTATTTTAGTAAAATTTCTTCCATTTCATTTAAATTGTTAAATTTATTGGGATATAATTAAGCAAAACAACTCCTAGTAATTGCTTTGATTTCATGTTCCTTAGTGGTATGTTCACCCTTTTTATTTTTGATACTAGTGATTTGTATTTCTTTTCTCTTTTAAATTGTATTAACCAATGGTTTATCAATTTTATTGTTTTTTTCATAAAACCCATGCCTATTTTTATTTATTTATTCAATGGTTTATGTGCATTCAATTTTATTAACTTTACCTTTAATTTTTAGAATTCTAATTTGGTGTTTAATAGGAGATTTTAAATTTGTTATTTTTCTCATTTTTTAAAAATCACATATCTAATTCATTGGACTGCTCTTTCTCTATTGTATTGATGTATTGCATTTAGAGATATAAATTCTCCTCTGATTACTGCTTTTGCTGTATCCCATAGATTTTGCTATGTTGTCTCATTATTATCATTATTCTCTTCAATGAAATTGTTTATTGTTTATATGACTTATTCTTTAACCCATTCAGTCTTTAAGATTAAGTTATTTAGTCTGAAATTAATTTTCCATCTGTGTTTCCATGGTCCCTTGTGATCTGAAAAGGTTGCATTTATTATTTCTGCTTTTCTGCATTTAACTATAAAGTTTTTATGGTCAATTTTTGAAAATGTACCATCTCCCACTGAGAAAAAAATGTTCATTCCTTTCTATTTTCTTTCAATTCTCTCTAGATAGTTATCATAACTAGCTTATTTAAGATTGTACTTGTCTCCTTGATTTTTTTTCATTTTTTTTGGTTAGATTTATCTAGTTCTGAGAGGGGAAGGTTAAAGTCTCCTATTATTATTGTATTGCTATTTATTTCTACCTGTAATTCATTTAGCTTTTCCTTTAAAAATGTGGATGCTGTAACATTTGGTGTATGTAGGGTTATTGCTGATATCACTTCATTATCTATGGTACCTTTAATCATAGTGTAGTTTCCTGGTTTATCTCTTTTAGTTAAATCTATTTTAGCTTTAACTTTGTCTGACATCATGATTGTTATCCTCTCCCCCTTATTTTGCATCTAGTGAACTAAAATAAATTCTATTCCAGCCCTTTATTTTTACTGTATTTGTATCTCTCATTTTAAAATGTTTCTTGTAGACAACATACTGTCAGATTATGGATTTTAATTCATTCCACTACTCATTTCCATTTTATGAGTGAGTTCATCCCATTCACATTCAAAGTTATAATTAGTAGTTGTGTATTCCCTCTATGCTACTTTCCCTCACTATTTATCCTTCTCTCTCTCTCTTTTCACCCTATCACTCCTCATACAACTAATTGACTTCTAACCACTGCCCCCCTTTCTAAGAATCCCTTCCTTACTCATCTCTTCCTTAATCTACCATTGTTCCAAGAGTCCCTCCCTTATCTTATCTTCTTGGCCTCTTATTTCTTAATCTTCATGCCCTTCTAAGAATCTCTTCCTTATCCTATTGCTTAGCCCTCATTTCTCTGTAAATTGAAGTCTTATGTACTCATCTAGATGTATATATATATTATTCCCTCTTTAACCCAGTTCTCATGAGAATAAGGTTCTAGCACTCCCAGCCCTCCACCTATTCCTACCCTCCACTGTAACAGTTCTTTTATTCATGCCTCGTTTGTATGAAGTAATTGCTCCATTTAATCTCTCCCTATCAGTTTTATTTTTTAGGATCATCCCATCATACTCAACTCAACCCCAAACCTTCTATCTATATATGCTCTTTCAAACTGCACCAGTAATAATAACATTCTTAAGAGTTATAATGTTTCTCCTTATAAGAGATAAACAATCTGACCTTATTAAATCCCTTATTATTGGTCTTTTATGTCTACCTTCCTGTGTTTATCCTGAATCCTGTAGGTCAAATTTTCCATTCAGTTCTGATCTTTTCCTCACAAATACCTGAAAGTCCTTTAATACATTAAATATCCATTTTTCCCCATGCAGGATTACATTCAGCTTTGCTGGGTAAGTTATTTTTGGTTGCAAACTCAGCTCCTTTGCTCTTCAGAATATCCTATTTCATGCCTATTAGTATTTTAACATAAAAGGCAATTCAAATGGAAATGATTCCATTTTCTGACATGGCCCTGCTAGATTGTCCAGGTCACACAGCTAGTGTCTGTGCAGTAAGGATTTAAACTCTGGTCTTGCTGACTCCAGGCCCAGTGTTCTAGCCACTCTGCCACTTAGCTATTAAAGTTGTGTGTTTCTGTTTCATTTAATTTTGCAGAACTCTAATGATGGTGCAGTAACTTAAGTTTTTTCCTAGGGCTCCAACATCCAGGGAGGGCATGCCTCCTTCTGCTGCCACCTTTTGCCTACATGTTCAGGCTCCACTCCCCTGGCCCTGGTCCACCAAGCGTTCAAAGTCTCCTTCATCATTATACACCTATCCAAAGTTTTCCTTCTTCACAGGTTTCACTTCTTTGTAAACCAACAATAGCTTTTCACTGGATTCCAACCTCACTCCCCCCACCCCATATAAGATATAAATGCATATAAGTTCCAAAAGGAACCACTGTGAGAGGTAAAATATGCTTTTCTCTAGAGGCAACAATAACATAATGAATGATGTCAGATTTGAAGTCAGGAAGATCTGAGTTCGAATCCTTTCTCAGATGCTTACTGACTATGAGATTCTGTACAGGGCATTGTTGCTCTTTCTAGCCTGTTTCCTCATCAGTAAAATGGTGATAATAACAACACTTATCTCACAGTGTTATTGTGAGAATAAAATTTGATAGCATATGTAAAGTGCTTTATAAACCTTAATATACTATATAACTATACTAGCTTAATATACTATATAACTATACTAGCTAACATTATTGGTGGATTTAGCTATTTATTAATAATAGGGCCTTAGGCAAGATATTTTACTTTAGATCTATAAAGATATATACATATATATATATATATATATATAAAACAATAAAGTTAATCCAACATATGCTCTTTATAGATATATGTCGAGAGAGCATATGTTGGATTAACTTTATTGTTAAGGTTCCTTCAGGTTCTAAATCCCATGATCCTAGGATTTTGGAGGAAAATATGCATTCCCACAGTGTGTCAGTATGGCAAGATGGGACTAGTAGATGGTGATTCTTTTCAGGCACCATTTTGACTCGGTACTCTCTGATGCCCAATTTTTACTCCCCTAAGCACTCCAGTTCTATGATCCTGACCATGGGGAGTTCCTGGACTTTTGAGCTGATCCAAGGACAAGATGGATTCTGGCTCAGAAGTCAGTGGACGTCACAGCCATGAGTCTTGTAGAGTCTCAGCTCAGGTAGCCCTCTGGAAGTTTTTTATTTTGTCTGTTCACACAGACTCTACCTGATGCAATATCTGCCACCTCCATGATTCTGAGTCCCTTGAGTGACACATGTACACACAAACTCTTCCACAAGGGCTCCTGTCTACTAGTCTCTGTTGAGAACATGGACAGATGTTCCAAAACATTTTTCCACTTGTGTTTTTTTTACCTTTGATGCAGGTAGGCAGCTGGAGATGCCTGAGGCAGGAATGGTCCCCCGAACTCCTTCGTGTCTCTGTGGACACCACTGTCAGTGAGTAACTACAAGGTTGCTGAGAGACAGGATACAGTTTAGGGGCCAGAGAAGCCATATAATCATCCACTTGGTATTATATCACTGCCTTGTCCTTGACATGGGCACAACTAATGTTCCTTTGTGTTTCCTTAGATGTAGAGGGAGGACTTGACCTGGCCATTGGCCCCAGAATAGGACATTGCAGCTCCAGGAGTTTTCTTAGCAGACCAAGCCTCAAATGTTTGACTTTGCTCTAGTTCTGGCAGCTCCTTGGTTCCTGCCAGGCTTGAGGCTTTATGTAATGTTCAGGGATATGTGGCCTCCTGTTCAGAGAAAGATTTCTCTGTTCCTTTCTGTCCTGTTCCTTTCACTGCTGCTGAAGCTTCCAGCCTCTGAGAACAGGACAGAGAAGCCATCCTGCCTCCCTCAAATCAGCCCCAGCATTGTCAGAAATGGGGATCTTGTGATTGGGACTTTTCTTCCCATGTATTCGGTTGAGGTGAGCAGTGTCACTGGAGCAGGACTCTTTGGAAGTTAACCTGACAGGGACTGTCAGAACTATAAGTAAGTGCCCACCTGTTTCTGCCTCTGAGTAGGCTGATGATTGCAGAGGTCTTTATGGACGGGGCAGGCAGGAAGGTGAGCCCTTGCCTGCTCATCCGAGGATCTCCTCTTCCCTCTCTTCTCTGACTTTTGTTGCTCGTGGTCAGTTTCCATCCATCTGATTATCTTTCAGAGCTAAAGAGGGAAAGGATTCTCTCTGACTGTCTCCCTGTCTCTGTCTTTTCCTGTCTCTGTGTCTGTGTCTGTATTTGCACTTGTGTCTTTCTCTCACTGATCTTGGGCAGTGGAGAGATCTGGAGCGTTGTCTCAGCTCTGCTCATGTTGTGAACAACTTCAGTAACAAGCTCCCACTGTAAGTGTAGCATTGGACAGAAAGGCCATTGGGAACCAAATATCCTTTTTGCCCATTGTAGCCTTTAACAGACTTTCCCTTGAGAACAGCAGTTGTTCATGTTGACAGGGGAGCTGGTTTCTTTCTCCCTGATTCTAATTGTACCAAGAGCGGATGAAGAAAGAAATGGACACAGGGTTTCAAATTCTCAGAAAACAGGCGGTTAAAAGAGGTAAAGTCAGTTTGGATGTCAATGATAGAGTGAATGAGAAGGCCTGAAGATTCTCTCGTGTTGGCCTGTCACCTCCTGGAATACAGGTCTGAATTATCTTAAAGATGAGAGTTGCTTTTGGAATATTTCTGGATTGTAAATTTTTAGGCACACGACATTAATATGGGATCTGTTTGAACACCAGTTTTGGGATTTTTGATTAAATTCTCGATAGTAATTCACAATTTTTAAATTTTTCTCAGTCCCTACTGTGGAAGAGGTGAGGGGAGAGGATGAGAGGTTTGAGTGATCACTCCTGATCTTGAACTGAAGATATTTAGACAACACCTGCTAGCATGTTGGGTGGGTAGAAAATTGGAGTGTTTCTTATCTCTTAAATATGTTTCTGTGCCTTTGTCCACTGATTTCTCTCTTCTAGAGATCCTCATCTCCACCCATGTAAATCCCTATTGTTCCAGGGCTATGATTCACTTTATGAAGTCCTCCTCTATTGGGAAGGTGCCTCTCATGGCCCAGCATTCCTGACTCTCTTGCATAAGTCATAGGCCAAATATTTATCACTGCCTTGTGTGAGAGGTTTGTGGGCCTATCATGCTTCCCTTGGCTATATCCTAGGCCTTCTGGGCACAGGAGATGTTTGGATAAGTTAGGGGAACATACTCTTGTCAGGTATTGTCCTAACACAGAATCAGGAGTATTCAGAATACCAAGCAGGAAAGATAGCAGTATCCCTTATCTCCCACTTATATCATTGGTGAAAAGCTATGTGGATTAGATGCTGAGACTCAGTCCTGGTATCAAGGAAAAGGAGGAGGCCAGTGGCACTGAGGCACCAGATTCCCAATTCATCCCTTGTTCTCTATTTTTCCTGTCAGAAAAGTGGGGAAAGAGGTGAGGATGCTGAATTGTTAGTGACATATTGTTCTAAGAAGAGAAATCTGTAAGGACTGGCATTCCTTGTCAGAGGCACAACAGCATTGGACAGAACCAAAAGGAAGTAGAAACAAAGAAACTATAGGAAGGAAGATTTCTGTGGAGTCAGGGAGATGTTCACAAAGGTGCAGAGTGTGCAGGGAGTCTGGACATACTTCATTCTTCTGGTGTCCTGGATGGTGTTAGGTGTTTGAGTAGCGTGAAAAAGGGTAGAGTTATATGAGGTTATTATCAGGGACAAGCAGGATCAGTCTTTGGGAGCAGGGACCATAGGAGCTCAAACTTGGGTTCATGACTGGTGCTAACTAAAACTTGGTGAGGGCAGGGGAGAATTGTGAGTGAATTTATATTTAATCACAGACCCTAGCAGAGAGCATGACTTTCGGCAGTCACTTCTGGTCTTACTCTTACAGGATGACTGAGGATTTTGTTTATTTTTTTTTTTAAACTTCCCAGTACTTCTTCATTTATCTCTTAGGGGAGGCTACTGTATTCCTTACAGGTAATGTTATAGTGGGAATTCATTTTGAGAATGAGTTGAGTTACACAATTTCTTGGCTGCTTTCAAAATCTTAAATTCTATTGTTCTGATATGGTAGGCATTCAGTATATTTTTGTATGTGTGAATGAGTGAGTGGGTGAATGAGTGACTCTGGCAGGCAGAACTCAAAGCAAATAGTCCTCAACATTCCAAACACAAGAGGGGAGCACTAAAGGAACAATGGAGGCTGTTATTAATAGACTCCAAATGAGGTAGAGTCCTTAGGTTTAACCCTCATATGGCTGGAACATCCTTCTTCCCTAAACGAATTCTCTTTTACAAGCTTTGTTAATGGGTTCTGACTCTCTTCCCTTTAGGTGGCTATACAAAAATTACCAACAAGCCCTGGCCCTAATGTTTGCTGTAAAGGAGATCAACAAGGACCCTACCTAACCTGTTACCCAACCTTACCCTGGGCTTCCACCTCTACAACACCTCCCACGGTGAGGAGAGGACCTTGGAGAGCTCCCTGTGCTGGCTGCCTGGGCAGGGCCAGCTCATCCCTAACTACAGCTGCTGGAAGTAGGACACGTCTGTGGCTGCCATTGGAGGAGCCACCCCAGCTCTGTCTGTCCAGATGGGGACCCTGCTGGAGCTCTACAAGTATCCACAGGTCAGTAATATTGACCCTGACGCCTTCTGAGGCTTCATTAGATCCCTGAGGGCATCATGGTATAATGGAGGAGGCCCAAGTTTAAAAAAACTGCCTCTGCTGTGTGACCCTGGCCAAATATCCTAACCTCTCTGCTCTAAGCAATTCTCAGACACTATACATTTCAGATAAGGTGCTAACGTGCATTAATGAAAGTTGTATCTTGCCTGGAAATCTGTACACCAATGATATCATCAGTACAATTTTGAAAACCTACACGTGGGAGAGAGTGGGCCTGCCCTTGAGCACCACACTTCCTACCTTCTTTATTGTGTCTTGTAGTTGTTGTCCAGTTATTTTAGTAGCGTCCAGCTCCTTTTGACCTCATTTGGGGTTTTCTTGGCAAAGATAGTGGATTGGCCATTTTCTTCTCCAGCTCATTTTTAGATGACAAAACTGAGACAAGCAAGATTAAGTGCCTTGTCCAGGGTCACACAGCTAGTAACTGTTTGAACTTGGGTCTTCTGGACTTCAGGTCCAGTGTTCCATCCAATGCATCACCTCGCTGCCCCCTTTATTTTATAGGAAGGACTAAATCAGTGTCACCTAACTTCTATCACATGAAGAGATCTTAAAGATTGTGCAGGCCTACTTCCCCATTGTCTAGATAAAGTCCATGAGGTTTAGGGGGATGAAACAGCTTCACCAAAGTCTCAAATGTAATTGATGAAAAATCTGGGACTAAAACTCATATATTTTCAATACTAGTTCATTGCTCTAAGCACTTACATTATCTATGTTTCGCCCTCAAGCTATATATTGTCTGTGAATGTTACTATTACTTCTTTTTTCCCCAAATAAGACTTATTTCAATAAAAGGAATGCTGACCATTGGTGTGGAAAGTGCAGGTTTTGGGCAGCAATGATGAGAGTACCTTTTAATTGCTGGAGAGGGGAAAGAAAAGGCACTTTAATAAGATGAGCCACTCATTAAAAAAGAGAGCTTACTAATACATATTTCCTCTCTCCCTCATACTATTAAATGGAAACATGATGATATAAATGCATGAACTCAAGAGGTGATTATTCTTCTTAAAAATATACTTTGGCTTTAATTTCAAAGATCAATCATTGTAGCATGTCTTCTAGGCCACAGTGAATAGAAGAAAGAACGTGATTCAACCAATCCAACACAGGAAAAATAAAGCTTTGCTATGGATAGTCTCAAATGCTTCCCTGACTAAGAAAAGAAAAAACTACTTAGGTTGTTGATAAGGAGAGACAGGAAACAGCTTTTTTATTTTTACACTGAATGTATGATGGGTATTAAAGACTGATGAATTGTTGCTATTAAATTTGAAAAATTTAAAGCAAACTTAATGAAGGATAATGTAGGAAACTTTCAGAAGTACACAAATATCCTAATGGAGTTATTGAAGTGTATTTAGCTATAAGCAAGTCCAAAATGGATTACTTTCCCAAAGTTTATTATAATTTTCTGCAAACATGGTTGGCCACTGCCAATTATTAACTATGTCTTTCAAAGTTATTTTTATTTACAATGTTGGTATTGTATAAATTATTCTCCTGATTATGTTCATTTCATTTGCTATCAGTTCATACAAATCTTCCCATGTTTCTCTGAATCCAACTCTTTTATTATTTGTAATTGAACATTGATATTCCAATGCATTTATTTTTCCTTTTTTTATTTTTTAACATTTTGATTTATTGTTTTTACATTCTTTTCTTTTAAGATTTTGAATTCCAAATTCTCTCCCTCTTTTTCACCCCTTTTCCATCCACTGAGAAGGCAAGCAATATATCAGTCATACACGTGAAGATATTCAAAACATATTTCTGTATTAGCCATGTTTCAAAAAAGGAAGAAAAATAAAATGAAGAAGTTGTACTTCGTTTTTCACTGAGATTTCTCTCTCTATGGGTGGATGACATTTTTTCTTCATGAGTCCTTTGGAATTGTTTTGGATTATAGTGTTGATCAGAGTAGCCCTGTCTTTCACAGTTAATCATCATTACAACATGGCTGTTATTGTGTACAATGATATCCTGGTTCTTCTCACTTCAGTTTTCATCAGTTCATGTAAGTTTTTCTATGTTTTTATGAAACCATCCCCCTCATCATTTCTTGTAGCACAACAGTACTCCATCACAATCATATGCCACAACTTGTTTAGTCATTCTGCAATGGATAGATATCCTCTCAATCTCTAATTCTTTGCCACCACAAAAAGAGCTGCTATAATTTTTTTCATATAGGTTCTATTTCTACACCCAACTGAGTATGTATGTACACACATATACACACATATGTATATATACATATGTATATATACTTATATATGTATTATGTATACATATGTGAATATATGTATATGTGTATTTATTCTTCCCTCTTTGAACCAGTTCCATTGAGAGTGAGGTATAAGCATTGCCTGCCACCCCTGCCCACATTTTCCCCTGCACTGAGAAAGCTCTTCCTTCTATGACTCTTTTATGCAAGAAAAATTTCCCCTTTCTGTTTCTCCCTTTCACCTTCTCCCAGTGCATCCTTTTTTCTCATTCCTTTAATTTTTTTGGAGATCATTCCAACATAATGGACTCATACGTATGTCCTTTGTTTTTATAAACCCTGTTTTACTGCACAAATAATGATAAAGTTCTTAGTTCTATTTTTTTAGGAAGTTATTTTCCTCCATAAATTTTTGTATGTATTTTCCCATGCTATTGATTCTTTTGTTTCATGATTTTCTTGCATTACTCTAATTTCTTTTCCCAATTTTTTCTACTACTTCTCTAATTTGCTTTTTAAAATCATTTTAAAGCTCTTCTAGGAATTTCTTTTGGGCCTCAGACCAAATTACATTTTTCTTTGAGGATTCACATGTAGCCATTTGAACACTATTAGCCTCTTCTAAGTTTATGCCTTGATATTCCCTATCGCCTCACTAACTGTCTATAATCAAGCTATTTTTGTTCTTGTTCTTTTTTCCTGCCTTTTTTTGTGACTTGATGTTTTTATGTAAGAGTTGGGCTCTGGTCCTGCACTGTCCCAAGCTTTTTGTGCTGGGGGATCTTGCTGCTGACATTCACTGGGCTTCAGGGCTTAGCTGCTTGCTTTCTCTGGAGGGTAGGCTTCCTTTCTGGCTTGTACGGGGGGGGGGCCTCCCTATTGGGGTCCCCTGGTGTGGGGTTTAACTGCTGGCCTACCTCAGGAGTGGGGCCCTGCTGCTGGGTTGCCATGGAAACAAGGTCTCTCTGCTGGGAGGTGCTGGAGCAGGCCAGCAGTTAAACTCCACAGGGTTTAAAGCCCCAGGGAGGGGCTGCACTGCTGGTTAGTAATGGGGTCAAGACTTCCTGCGTGAGACTGCCTGCTGCTGCTGCTCTTGGACCTCACTCCCCTCCCACTCCAGTGAGGCAGATCTTTCCTGCTGGGCTTGTAAGCTGCTTCCGTGCTCCTAGATCGATTCTGAGGCGGTTTTTCAGTTGTTTGTATGAGAATTTAGGAGTGCTTAAGAGGATTCCTCCCTCCCTCTGCTGTCTTGGCACTGGAAATGTTTCCAATAATTCTTGAATTATCTCTTCTGTAATGATTTTATAGATCAGTTGTTTTTCCAATGAGATATTTTACATTTTCTTCAATTTTTTCATTCTTTTGATTTTGTTTGTTTGATGCTTGCTTTCTCATAGAGTCATTAGCACCTACTTTCCCAATTCTAATTTTTAAGAAATTATTTTCTTAGTTAGCTTTTGCATCTCCTTTTCCAGTTTTTCTATTCTTATTTTTAAGGAGTTGCTTTTCTTCAATGAATTTTTGTACATCTTTTTCCGTTTTTTTAAAAAAAATTTTTATTTTTTTTTTAAGTTTTAGGCAATTGGGGTTAAGTGACTTGCCCAGGTCACACAGCTAGTAAGTGTCAAATGTTTGGTCTGAGGCCGGATTTGAACTCAGGTCCTCCTGACTTCAGGGCCGGTGCCCTATCCACTGCGCTACCTAGCTGCCCCATCTTTTTCCGTTTTTGTGCTTCCTTTACCAATCTGTTGACTTTTTTTTCATGATTCTCTTGCATAATTCTCATTTCTTTTCCCAATTTTTCTTCTACCTTTCTTATTTGATTTTAAAAATTCCTTTTAAGCTCTTCCAGGAGGACTTTTTTTTTTTGGCCTGAGACCAATTCATATTTCTCTTTGTGGCTTTGCAAGTAGGCATTTTGACATTGTTGTCCTCTTCTAAGTGTATGTTTTGTTTTTCCCTGTCACCATAGCAGTTTTCTATGATCAGGGTTTTTTTTTTACTGTTTTTTTTTTTTGCCAATTTCCAGCTTATTTCTCTGCTCCTGGGGTACATGAGGTACTATCCTAAGCTTCTTGTATTAGGGGCCATCAGCCTGGTCACTGGATTTTTATGCCAGGACCTCATGGGCTGGCAACTCACTTATTGCAGGGGAAGGGTAGGGGTGGGGATCTAGGACTAGAGGCTTGCCTGTTGCATGGGTTGGAGGACTCACAGATGGCCCACTGTGCCACTGGCTTTCTGAACCAGGACCTCAGGGCCTCAGTTGCTAATCTGTATTGGAGCTAGGACCCTTCTGCTGGCTTGCCTGGGCTGTCCACCACCTGTGTTGGACTGTGTTCCCCCATTACCTGAGTGAAACAGACCTTTCCTGTCATCCTTGTAAGTTATCTTGGGGTGGAAATTTATTTCACTCCATCCTTTTGTGGGTTCTGTTGCTCCAAAATTTGTTTTGAGGTTTGATTTGAAGTTGTTTTGAGGGAAATTGTGGAGAGTCAGGCAATTTCCTGCCTTTTCTCCTCCATCTTGGCTCTATCTCTTTTGTTGAAGAAATAACACAGAAGCATAAATTTTTCCATTACGCATCGCTTTAGTTATATTTTATAACTGTTGGCATGTTCTCTTATTTCTGTCATCTATAATTACATTTTCTATGGTGTCTAAGATTTGTTCTTTGACCGAGAAAATCCAGAAAATTAAGTTATGTAGTCACCAATTATTTTTAATGAGAATAAGAGTCATTAAACAGTTATTAAGCACCTCCTATGTGCCACTCACTGAGATGTATTGAGGATACAAAGAAATGCATAAGAGTCCCTGCTTTCAAGGAGTTCACAGTCTAGTTGTGGAGACAACAAATAAATAAGAACCTGAAAGATGGGGGGAAGGTATTAGCCAACTTTGGGGAATGGTGAAATCATGAAGCTGGGTGGGAAATTATCTGAGGAGATTTGATTTACAAATTAGTTTCAATTTGCATCATGAATGAGTTTCTGAAGATAATGAAGTCCAGGAAAGTAACAAGGTGGGAAATAATTCCCTCAAAGATGTTTTGTTGGATGCAAATTTCATTGCATTGTGGTCAGTCAATGACATGAAAGATATTTATGCTTTTATGCATTTGTTCAAGCAGAGATCTGTAAGATCTCACTCTTATTTATCCAGTCCTTAGCTTTTTTTATTTATCTCTTTGTTTGAATTGCATGTCTGACAGTTGTACATTGAAATTCCCCACATGGCATTACAATTTCACTGTCTTTCCTCCCTGCAATTTGAATATTATTTAGTTAAGTTAAATTAACAAGCATTAATCAAGAAATTGCCATTTGTCAGGAACTGTGCTTAGTGCTAAGTACACAATGAACGTTGTAAAAAAAAAAACAAAAGTCCCTGTTTGCAAGTTCTTCACAGTGTAATGGGTGGGGCACGAAACAATTATGGACAAGAGGAAAGTATGGAGGATAAGTTGGAAATGGTCTCAGAGGGAAGGCACCTGCCTTAACATACACAGGAAAAGTCATGTGGTAGAAGGTGGTATTTTAACTGGGACTTGAAAGAAATTAGGGAAGTCATAAGATGGAAATGACTGGAAGGAACATTCCAGAAATGACAACAGTAACAACAACTAATAATAATGATAATGATATTTTTAGCACCTTTCCTCTAGTTGTTATTATTCTCTCCTTCATATGCAAATTGTTGTTGATATGCTTATCAACTTACATACATTATCTCTCCGATAGAAATTTTAGGATGGGAACTTTTAAAAAAGTTTTTAAAATTTTTAAAAATTTTAATTTTTTGTGTCCCTGGGTACTAAGACTAAATAGGCACTTATTAAATACTTTTTGTTTGGTTTTATTCCTAGAAACTTTATCGACTAAAGAGTCCAACCTCCCAGTAAGTAAAGCAATTGGTTAATTAACAGTATAGGTTCAGGAGACTGCATTAGGATTTGGGGAAACAAAGACACAAGTGGAACCCACCTAGCCCATAAGGTGTTTACAATTCAACCGAAGGAGACAATATGAACGTATATAGGCATTCACAAAATAGATCTAAAATAGATTTGATCAGATATGGAGGGAAAGGTTCATCAGCTCAGGCGGTTTTTTGGACTACCAAGAGAAGGTTGCATTTGAGTTCATTATTAGAGGAAACAAGAAAACCTAAGAGGTGCAGGTGAGAGGCCAGATCATTCCAACCAGGGGGACAGCCAGTGCAAAAGCCCAGAGATTGCAGGTGGAATATCGTATATAAGGAAGATAGTCAGTTTGGTCGGACTGTGATGTTCATAAAGGGAAGTGATTTGTAAAATGCTAGAAAAGTTTGGATAAAGTTAAGAAGGTATTTAAATACCAGAGGTCTTAGTATTTGGTCTTAGAGTCAATAACAAGACATCTGAGTTGATTGAAGAAGGGTAATGGCGTGTTCAGAATGCATTTTAGGAAACTAACTTTGGCAGCTGGAGGATAGGATACAACAGAGTGGGAGAAAAGTGAGGCAGAGAGATAATTGAGAAGCTGATTGTAATAGTTCATGTGTGAAGTGGTGGGGGCCTGAGCTGGAGCAGTGTATGTATGAGTTGTGAGAAGCAGAGTGCATTAAGAGCTGGTGTGGAAGTATAAATCATGACATTCGGTGATTGATTAAAGATATATGGTGATAAAGATTGAGGAGTCATCGATGACACTGAGGGGAGAGCCTGGGTGGCTGAAATGATATTGATGCCTGTGGCAGAAATAGGGAAGTTTGGAACAGGGACGGATTTATGGGGAAAGATAGAGAATTCTGTTTTGGACATCTTAACTGTGGGAATCCAGTTCCAAGTGTTCAGTAGGGATTTGGGGACATTTTTAGAAATCATCCAGACCTGGTTCTGGCCCGATGACACAACCATCCTGTGTAGCCTTTCTAGTCCTGCCTACACCTTCACTCATTCCTTTTGGCTCACTGGCTGAGATGGAGGAGTTGGAATCCTTTTTGTTCCCCATTAACAATTCCAGTTTCTCCCCTAACCTCCATTCCTCAATAACCTCTCCACCTTTGAGGTTCATACCATCTAATCAAATCCTGGTATCCGTGTCAGATATCCAAATCATTCCTCTTTGTTCTTCAATGATTTTAGTGCCTGGCTCACAATTTTTCTATGTTATCTAACTCCTGGGATCATAAAATGGGACTTCAGCATACATATTCTCAAGCATCCTAACCATTCAATTCCTCAGCCTACTCACTTTTCATGAGCATCTGCTCCATTTCACTCACACACAAAGAAAATTATAGCCTGGATCTTGCCGTCATCCTCAGATACACCACCTCTATCTTCAAGAATTCTAAAATCCACTTATTTGACCATAATCTATTATTTCCATCTCTCCCTATGCCTTTCCTTACCAAATCCTACTCTTCATCCACTATGTGACCTCCAATCACTTAACCCTTCGGTTCTCTGTGAGGCCACAACCAACGTACTAACAACTCTATTCTCTCTTCCGTATTTTAACTTCTTAGTGAACCAATCCAACTCTACACTGTCCTATTCTTTTGAATCTTTAGCATCTTTATCATATTATTGATCATAACCTGCCAAATTTCAGCCTTGTGTCACTCTCACCATTGAACAACTTTGCTCTTACATATGTGTTGCTGAATAAAAGCATAGAAAATCAAACAATTGTTCTTATTGGGTCTACTACAAATTTACGTTAAACAATTTCAACTCTGCCCTTGCTGTTGTTATGCAATCCTTCTACACCTTTCGTGTCAACTCACTATCCCACTCTCCACAGCAGGTCTTCCAAACCTTTTTATCCCTTCTTAAGCTTCCTATGGTTCTTCCAAATTTCTTCATTTTCCCATCCTTTTTGTCAAACCAAAATTGATGTCTGCTAGTGTTTTGACCTAGATGAGTAAATGCAATGCTGTACAGCAAATCTCTGAAACGCGTCTCTTCCTTTTCTGCTCCACTGCTTGTTAACTATGTGTTGGCTCAGCTTTCCCTCCAAGTTAGTAATAAATTGGTTCTGCTCAGAGAAGTGCTCTAATCTGTTGACAGTAAGTCTTCTGGTAGTTATCTTGCCTTGGGTCCACTGCTTTTGCTGGATGTGGATATTTAGCTTGGAGAGGATAAGTCTATGGTCAGT